ATAAAAATTAATAGACCCAAAGGTATCGCTCACTCTGAAGCATACAGAAATAAAAAAGGGTATTTTTCTGTAAATGTGCAAGCAATAATAGGGCCTGATATGGAAATATTTGCTATAGTGACTAGGTGGCCTGGCAGTTCACACGACAGCAGGATATTTAGAAAATGCCTGTTTTAGTAGGTGACAGCGGTTATCCAGCACTTAACTTCATGTTAACAACACTTTTAAATCCAATGACAAGAGCTGACAATATTTATAATTATTCTCAAATAAGAACTAGGCATATTTTTTAAAGGTTTTTCGGAGTGTGAAAAAGGAAATTTCCATGTTTACAGCTAGGACTACAGTCAAAATTGACAAATACTAGTTATAATTATAGCTTGTGCTGTATTGCATAATATAGGTATACAGAGAGGCGATGCTTATGATGATGGTGATCTTGCTGACAGCAGAAGTTGAGTAACACAAACAATGAAAGATCTCCTACAGGTCTAGCATTCCGGCAATCTGTGATTGCACAATTTAACTAGGTAATTTGTTTGGTAATAAAGAATATCAAAACAAAACTTGTTTCATTTTAATCATTTTGTTTCTGATTCTTTTTTTAAGTGTAATACATATTTCTAATACTAATTTATATTTTTGTTGAAGAAATTCTATTTCTAACAGATTTTTTAATTTCATATGTTCCACTCCTATCTCAAATTTTTTAGGGTAGTCAGGTAATAAATGGTAGAAGATTCAGGGAAACGAAAAAAACAGATGTGAAGCGAGAGACATCGGTTAGGTTATAGTTTGAATTTCGTTGTCACTATTTTTTTTTTTTTTTTTTTAATTTATTTATTAGCCGGATACAAAGTCCATTGGCACAACGTTGTCACTATAATCTGCCAGGGCTGCCAGGTGACATACAAAATCACACCAGTTATTTTTAAGATTTCTCAAAAATGGGGTTTGAACAATTACATAAATAATATAAATAAACAACAATAAATACCATAATAATGTGTAATTATTTTATATCATGCATTTCATAGGTATTTATCAAGATCATTTATAATTTCTTTGAATTCAAATTCTATTTTTCCCAAAGTCTATGGAACTCCGATACAAAATGGCAACACCGTTCATTAAAAACCGACAAAAATAAAAAGTCCAGTTAAAAGATATGATGGTAAAGCAAATTTTGGGCCATTATTTTTGTTAGGCTTATAGTCAAAGTTTTTGGTAAGTCGTCGATTTCGTGGACTTGAGATTAAGCTAAGCCAACACTAGGGAGAGATTCGCAGTTTGCTCTATAAATACCGACTGTGTCTTAGCTCGATAGTTAAGTCAGAGCAAAGTCTAAGTGCGCACTATAGATCTCACCCTTAGAGTTTCTTCAGGAGGAGATCCCTGCTTAAAAACAACAACAAAACAGTGATTTACATCAAGTTAAGTTATTAATATCTTAGGAAAGATAAAAAAAGTGCGTATGTACAAAGTGCACATGACAGAAGTGAAACTTCTTTGGCAAACTTATTTTTAACTCTTGTTCATATTTATACAAATCTAAAACTTTAGATTTCCAAGACTTAGAGGGAAGGATAAAGGAAGATATGTTAGGAATTAAATGAATTTAATGGTCATTGAAATATTAAGTGTCGAAAATTAACACAAATAAATATTTAATTTTTTTAATTTACGATTCGTCATTTGAGATTTCAATTATTTCATAAAATATAAAATACTAATATTTCATAAATTCTCTTTACGAAATTTTAATAATAGAATTTCTTTAATAATTCGCCCTACTCACTCATTCAATCGCTCTCTCCCTTTTCTTCGACAAAAACGCATATCTTCGTGACGTTCCGTAAAAATTTTACCCTCATGCACCTAAATAAGTTTCACTTCAAAAAATCTTTACTCATGATATAAAAATATGGTTGTGACAAAATTGATTTAAAGCTCCCACGAGGGAGCCTATGTAATTGGATTACAATTATGCCCTGGCAAATGGTGCATGTTTTAATAATAATAATTTTTTTTTTTCTCTTACATAACATTTGAAACAAACTACGATTACAGTTAAGAAGGTTTTGGGAGACTGGTTTGCAAGTTAGGTAACCTGTGATATGGATAACCAGGCTTCCATTCCACAGCAGTCATAACAAAAAGTACATACATGAGTAGGCAAACAAATTAAAAATTAAAAAAAAAGGTTGCGTGTACTCATGTACGCACGTAAGAAGTTATATTTCTTTGGCTTTCTTTATTTTTTTAAATATTTAATATTTTGTATATTATTCAATTATTAATTAATATTAATAATAATAAATATTATTATTTTATTATATTATTCATTCAATTTAATAACTAGGTATGTTTCATAACCTTTAAACTAAGTAACAATAGGTCTTTGTGAAAAAGCATTGCTAAATTTCTTTGAAAAAATAATTAAAACTCCTTTATTTGTTTTGACAAAGGTCATTATGGTCATTCAAAATTCTTGGCATAGCTGCTAACTTCACGCATATTCTATTTCTTTTTACTTGTAGATTGTCTTATTCCCATCACGCTCGGCGCCCGGCTGGTTTAAAAAGAATTCGTTAGTGGGCAACTTCATACTGATTATTTTGTGTCACGGTGCGCGCGCATCATAAAATTTCACTCTCATCAATTTTTCATAACGCGCCTAAAGAAGTATAACTTCAAAAAAAAGCAAAACAAAACACTTACTACAGAAATAAAGTTAACAGAAATGAAACATATTTGATAAAAGTACATAGATATCAAAAGCAGGTAAGTAACATTACTATTAATATTTTTTTTTTGGATTTTGTGTGTGTGTATGTGAGTGTGCGTGTTTAAAAGAATTTTTTTGTTGGAAAACGTAGTACTTAGTACATGTAATCAAAAGTCGTATTAGACCTCAAGTATTCGTGAATGTACTATGAATGGGTGTGTGTGCGTATAATAAACTCAAAGTGGGGCTGAAAGACGTTGTAAGCATGCACTGTATTGTGGTTTTGGAACCTCCTACCAAATTACGTACGTGCCTCTGCAGAATCGAAATCCAAATCGGCTAGCATAATTTGTATGAGTTTCAAACTGAATAGTTTGACTATCTCAGAACCCATAGATCGGGAGATTTTGTTTTGGCGTATAACAAAACGTCTTAGATGTGTCCGGATTTTTTAGACAATGGTTTTTTTTTTATTCTTTGATTCAAAGTGGCGTTTGTGTTGTAAGCTCATCCTAGCTTATAAACTAAACAATAATTACACAGAAGGATAAAGACGCAAGGAAGAAGTGGCTATTTGATACCTCCTTCCTTGCATAGTCCATGGAGTTTGTGATATCTTAAACTGATCGCTAAGATGTATAGCTTTCTTACTGAAAAGGTTTTTGTTTCTAGATGGAGTTTCACTGTCGGGTATCTAAACGGTTTGCGATACAGGCTACTTTATTCTAAGAATTGGTTTTTGTACACGTTCCAACTTATCAGTGTAGTTGCAGCTTTTATCCCCATTGAATTTTCTTTATTAATTGCTAACTTTTCCTCGCTTATGTATGTCCCCTTTCGACTAAGCTAATGCCTATCCTAGCTATCCTAACGCATAGTTTTTTGGTGTGATGTCTGTTCTGCCTAATCGTTTGTCGTGATTTGCTTTAAGGTTCTTTAGAAAATTGTTGCAGAAGTTTAAATATTTTTGGATGTTTTCCAGTGGTTGTTTTACAGCGCAGTTTTGCAATACTATAAAATTGTATAGATATTTTACAATTCCGACATTGGGATCAAAATGGTGACATCAAGTGTGAGACAATCCGTATGTATCCGTCAAAATCATTGTATTCTCTTAAACACCTTGTTGTGGGATTAAACAAATAAACACAGATAATATAATTAATCATTTAATTTCAAACCTTAAATTTATATTTACAATTAATTTACTTATATTCGCAGGTAGATCGGTTATTTAATATTTAATTTAAATATCACATATTACCTACCTTATACATTAACGGCAAGCTTAGTAAATCCATAGAACACGAAAAAGTATGGTATGCCTAATTTTAATAACATTTTATTGTTTAAAATTGGTATAGAACTTTTTGTTGTTACATGAACTTAACAGCACAATATGATAAAATAAAAATACCTAATCAATTATAAAATATTCGCCAGTCTCTCACTGTACAATAAGAATGAAATTCTGACACCAGTCTTAAATCTTATTATAAACGGTTTAGCAATTTAGCCGCCTTAATTTTCCTAATTACCTTATTTATTCTTAGTGAGCAAACATTGAGCTTGGACTACCTAAAAACTGACGCAAAATGATAATTCTTAAGTAGGCTTTAGAATAACAATGTCATGATTAGTTTATCTTACATCAATCATTGATGCAGTCGATAATAACCAAACAAAGCGATTTAATGTAAAAAGCGGGTATCACAAAAACTCGTAGAACCAAATGTGTCATTATTTTACGACACTTTGAACTGAGAGGTCGTTGAGATTTTATAGAAACATTAAAAATCATTGGTAATCTCGCTGGCGTAGTAAATTTTTGTCAACACCTTAGTACATATGGCAAATAATGAAATCGATATCACATTTCGTCCACAAAAATAATAAGATGAATAACTTTTAATTTCTCATAAAACGAAAAGCTGTAATTATAGACTAACTCTTAGAGGAGAAATTGTTACATTTGTGTGAAATAAGTTTTACTTGTTAATAACAAAGAAATATATCTATCCCAAAAGATTTCTAATAATACTAGACATATGTCAACGAAAGCGGGTAGTTTTGACACAGCCCTTGACCGGCAAGGGTTTTAAGTTGGCAAGACAAAAATAGGGCTATTTAATTTTTTCTTCTGAGAGGAAAACTATCTCCATTATTCATCTGCCTCTTCATCACAGTATAAACATTTTGCAGAAAGAGATAACGTAGTTTAGTTAAAACGCAATTAGACTTAGTAAATAACATCAATGATTAATCAACGATTTCACTTATCCAACTCCCGCAATGTATTCGCTCGATCACTCTCAGTATAAACATAATCAAAATCACTTCCATCATCAATTATTTCTAGATATTTACAAGTGCCATCACCTCTTACGTTATCATCACTTTCTCGCCTATCATCATCACTTTCCCTACCATCACTCTCACTCCTATACGCATCATTGACTTCCGAACATTCAGGAACAATGAGGGAGTTTTTGCGTTCGGAATCAAAAATTCTTGTACCTACTTTATCGCTGATTTTATGTCCTAATTCTTTTAACTTATCCGAGGGTATTTTAATAAAAGACTTTGATTCTTTTTCATTATCATCTGATTCTAAAGGCATTTCACAGGGCACATAGATATCTTTCATTTTGTCTTTATTAGACCAATGTTTTTTGTGTTTGTATGACTTAAACATGATTTTGAATGTTAGGATGTAGACGGTAACGAATATCAGGATCGTACCAGAAATAAAACTAAGGTACATTATTGATTTTTCGACTATCGGAAGTATGTTTAGGTACATTTTGAAGCGCATCTCCATTGACGACGGTAGGCGGAACATTCTCTGTAAAGAAATGGTTCATAAGTAGAAACATATGCAAGACAAAAAGTAAAAAGATTTAAAAAATAATAAAGTTTCATAACGTCCGAAATTCTTTAATATAAGTGACATTAAAAAATACATTATCGAATAAATAATGTTGTTAATCCTGCAAATATAAACATAGTAAAAACGAAAATTGAAAAGAACTTGAAACGATTTGGAACTAGACAACTAGCAAAAGATAAAAACATACTCAAACTTACAATATCAAACCAGAGAAGCGGCAAGTAGATATTGGCGAATCTGCCTGTATTTCTGATGTTGCTAATATCCTCCAAGGGCATATTGATCTGGAACTTGGCACTCACGTCGAGCGGAAGACCGGAGTCGGGTTGGATCCAGAACCTGGTTCAAAATTGGTCACTTAAGGCTGACTCCACAACAAAATTTACAAGAAATGAAAACACAATTTTTAAAGGACGAAGTTGAAAAGCAAAGAAATTCCGTTTTAAAAATTGCCAATACTTATCCAAAAGGATTTCATCGTCCCCATATACGAGTATTGCTGTAATATTTGAGTTTGGGTATTTAGGTTCTCAAGCAAATGTGACTGGTCGGACTTGAATCCGAGTATTTTATTTTATTCGCGGTTTTTTGTATATTTAGTTACTTCGACTATGTATAATATGCGTGTTGATCCCACAAGAATGTAAGAGCGTCCCTACTGTTGATAGAGGACAAATCTTTGTTTTTTATTTTATTATTAATTAATTATTCATTGCTTAAAGATGTCATGTGGAACATGGTGTAATGTAAAAAACTTGGCTATTAAAAAGAGCGACGGAGACTTCTAGGAGGTTCTGATAAGGAGGGAGCTTGTAGTTTATTGTTTATCAGAATGCCAATTCGTAAAATGACTGCTTCACGACTGATTTGAGCGCAACCGCCGCTGTGAAAACCGCTGGTGAGTTCGAAAAGTGAGTTACAGAATCGCGTTCTCGTCCGTTCTAAGCCCGTCTTTGATTTTCTTTGTCTTTGATTTTTAACTGGCAGTAAATATAAAATTATTAGAAGCATTTAATTTGTATTTCGTTATTGACGTTGATAAGTGTACATTGTGTTACCTAAGTGAATAAATGACTTTGAATTTGACTATCTAGTATATTCTAACCTAGGGAACGCTTTCAAAGCTAAATCGATAATAGGTAAATAAATGATATAATTAATAAACAAATTAAATTTGGAACAATTATGCAGCAATTGAAAAAAAATATTAATTAACACGTGTTAATACTTTACTCAAGAGTTTCAGCTATTATAAACGGTTTTTTCGACTATAAGACAATTTAAGCAGAACAAAATGTATACCTTGTTTCATGCAGTTCTTTATCCGGCTTCAAACCCTCGATCTTCGTGAATAAAACATCATCACCCTTGTAAAAGTGAGGGTAGGACAAAGCTATGGGAAACCCGTAGTAACAGTCGGATACATCCAATAAACCTTCCGGTAGACATTTACCTGAAAATACAGAGGTATTTTTAATTTTTAGTAGATTCGACAAAGTAATGAACAATGAAACAGCCAACGGTAAGATTTAGTCAGGACTTGTAGTTCTTGTATATAAAAACCCAATAACAACAATAAGCAAAAATACTAGTTAAATCTAAAATTGAAAAAGATAGCTTGTAATATAATATACTGTATATATAACATTAAATATGGTGTGGTGAACTTTATTAAATAATAACATTTTCAACATAAGAGATTACTTAACGTTAAGTATCCTACCCTAAAGATGAGATTCAAATCTTGACTTGAATTATAACTCCCGTATGCCAAAATCCAATCTCTGGCCTACTTAACCCTCGTTTCTTCACTTAACCCTAAGATATATCTATGTTCTTGAGGGTTATGGAACGTCATGAGAACTTACCATGTCGACAAAAGCACTTGTTTTCCTCATTATGTATCCCATTGTCCATCATGTGCTCGGGAAATGTGTACATCACCCCTTTCAAACCATTCTTCTCGCCTTCTTTCACTGGGACCTGGAATTTTTTTGTATATTTATTTGTTTACGCCTTCAACTGCTATTCCGAGTTATAACACTTATGAATTCAATAAACACATAATACTTATGAATCCATAATTGCATGGGTTTCGGTCAAACTTTAACTGGCTAAATATATTTGTAAACATTTAGATATCGCTGGCCACGAGGAACAAAGTCGTAAAGCACTATTACGACTGTTTTAATGTTTCGTCATTTTCGACTTCCTTGGGTGATGTGCTATAACGGTTTTCAGAATTTTTGCGAAACATTTTATTGTTAAAAACACAAGGATCTCTACGGAAATTATTTTATGCAAAATGTAAGTAATACTCGTTTACCTAATTTTACTTACCTGAAACAGATCGCTACAACCATAAATATTTTTGGTTTATATTGTAATTCTACCAAATAGTAATAAAAGTTAATGCGACAATTTAAAAATAAATAAGGAGTCGTAATAATAAATCTGTTTCATCAACGTGATAATATTTCCGCGAAACGAGTGGTAATACATTATTACGTTCTAGACATTCGTCAAAATGTGCCATCGTAATGTGCGGTTACTGTGACGCCCGTAATTATGTTTAAAAATTTAAACAATCGTAAAACGCCTTTGTTCTTCAGTGTTATCTACAATAAATACATAACAACAATGATTATATCTTCGAATAGAAGAAAAAAATACTTTCATTTGATATAATATATCTAGTATATGTAATGTACATATAATGATAGAATCCTAGTGATAATTGTTCCCCGGGGCAAGCGATATATAAATAATCTTTTTGGTAAGAAAAACCAACTTACCAATGGCGCAGCCCGACACAGACTCTTTCTATAAAACAACAGAGAATCATTTTTCCCAATTGCACTTTTGAACTTCGTGCCATCTGACGCGTATTGCACGTTAGAGCAGTGTTTCTCAGGCCATTGCGGCAAGTCTGTAGAGCCTCGGTAGGTGTCAATCAGACCTGAATGTGTTAGCTCTGTTTCACCAGTGAATACGGTTTCGAAATCGCCATTAAAGTCGTACATCTGAAAAATAATCGCTTTTAGAAATTGCGTAATCACTCAACAACAGTATCAGTGCCAACCCGAAACTACTGTTGACATGTTTAAAAAGTTTGTAGACTAACATAGAAAAAAACATATTTTTATAGAATTTCATTTGATAATTCAATAGTATGTAGTTGCTTACGAAAGCGATACAACGATTATAGCGGTCATACACTTCATTACAATTTTTATGGTACGATATGTCTTTAGCCTCAAAATAGGCTTTAATACGTAGGCTGTAGAATCGGCGATAAAAAGAAAATATCAATAAAAAAACTACAATGTATTAATAAAATCGCATTGCGTAGAAATCAAGTGCAATTCGACTTAGGGTCCTTCATGAAAAGAGCGTACTATGTATTTCCTAAAAGGCCCGCAACGCACTTGCGAGCGGTATCACTTAACATCAGATGAGCCTCCTGCACGTTTGCCTCCTGTTACATCAAAAAAAGTGCAGGCGCATTTTTATCAGTTCCAAGCAAAAGCTTCCCACTAAGCCACGGATGCTACTTTAGAATGAAATATTCTAAACAGGCATGAAAAACACATTATTGTCACTATCTATCAGCTATAAGCTATAATCGATTAATAATATTATAAACAATACAATACAATTTATAAAAAAATTCAGTAGTTAAAAGGCAAATATGAAAAGAGTACTATACTTTAAAGGCCAGCACGAGCCCTCTGAACAGTGTCAGCGCCCATGGGCGGCGGTATGACTTCGGCTCGTTTGTTAACTCTTCTACATAAAAAACCTTTTTTGGACAAAGAAGTCTGTACTCACCCGATCAATAAGGCCGAGTTTATCAAAATAGACCCATCCGGGCATAAACGTGTTGCCCAAAGTCATGATCTCAGACTTATAACCCATCATGAACTCTTTAGCTGTCATCTGGGCGAGTGGCTGGCTATTAGTGAATCCGACGATATTGTTCAAACCAAAACGCGTCACGAAACTTTGGCTGGAGACAACGTTTGCTATACTCTGAAAACACCGATAGAGTTCAGTTTCAAAGATATCATACTAAAACCTTCATGCTGAAGGCTAATAATAAAAACAAATCAGTGGTGATGCAACCATTTTAGGTCTGGTCAGATTTTTGTATCTGTTTCATGATCATTTGTCAATCTAATAGACAAGTAGGTGATCAGCCTCCTGTGTCTGACACACGCCGTCGATTTCGGCTAGCCGGTATTCTCACAATGTCCTCCTACACCGTTCGAAGAAATATTAAATGCGCACATAGAAAGAAAGTCCATTGGTGCACAACCGGAGATCGAATCTCAAGGATGAGAGTTGTACGCGAAAGTCACTAGGCCAACTCTGAACTCTGCTAATAATACTCATAAATTTAAACAAACCTTAAAAGGTTATAAACGCGGTTTTATTACGAGTAAATACACAAATGCGTTTTATTAATTGTCTATTAAGACTGGCCACAATGTTGAAGATGCGCTTACCGCGGATTTCATGAGCAATTGTAATTAAAGTCATTGGAGGAAATAGGGTTGTAGGCTGTTTTATCCTGGAATGATCTTTCTTATTGCTTCAAATGTGTTTGTTTGATATATGACGTTGGTAGCAATTAGTTTTAGAAAGATTTTAATCCAAATTATCAGTTAACATCATTAATTAAGAATTTAACTCGGTTTTTCTTAATGCTATTTTAATCATCCTTATATCCGGGTATATTTAATGTCTGTAATTATAGGCATAAGATCTGTTAACTGCAGGTAATATTTTATTATAAATTATCCAAGGTAAATAATAATTGTACATCATAATTAATTGTTGAAAATATTTTTTTCTTCCTAGAATGAAGTTCACAAAAAAGAGTGCGACTTTACGTGAATTACAATCTAGCCTATACAATAATTATGGCTGATAAGTAATATTATGTTGACTTGAATGTTCATTAACAGTCTTAGTGTTGTAATGTTTTGACACTATGTTCGTGTGTCCAACGAACTTGCAGAATTTTTTGGATGCATTAAAAGTGCAAGATATAAAAAATCGTAACTATATTTTAAATTTATGTGCCAAGGTATCAAGAATATGTAGTAAATAGTATGTAGTAATTAATTGTTATTACAGTTTTGATAATTATTTACACTTTAAATGTAATAAATCCTACTGAGCAGTATTTTTATTTTAAAGTTTAAAGGCCCGTAAAGGTTAAAAGGAAGTGTTTCTACAATTAATACTTGGAAAAGAAATTAAAAAAGGAATAGCAGACATTTAAAGGTTTCTGTATCTGTTCCTTGATCGGATGTTAATAGAGAAGTGTAGCCTTCTGGCAGTGCCTGTCACACGCGGTCGATCTTTGGGTCTTCTGGCTGCGACTTAGCATTATGTCAATTATAAAATGTTCTTGACATTTAGGAGCTAAGCCTTGTGTTCGAATAGTTAGATCCCTTAGACACTATAGTTTTGTACGATTTTTGAAGTTATACTTCTTTTAGCGCGTTAGGGAAAAATGATGACGGTAAATTTTTACGATGTGCGCGCACACCGTCACAAAAAGCCCACACCCTGAAGTTAGCTATAGTCAAGATTTTTGTTTTTTTCTATTGTTAGTGTCGTTTTTTCTACAAAATTTATGAAAAGATTTTTATCTTGCTACGCCAAAGAAGTATAAAGAATAACAATGAGCAAATTTTATACATAAAAGAAGCTAGTGGTGAAAAGAAAATTTTTGACCTGCCTTAGAGTACGCCTATTTATTTGTAATCTTACAGCTACACATATACATATTATAAAAGAAAACACTTAGACGATATACAAAGCCAAAACAGATTACATTGTTAGACAAAATATACGAAACAGAATATCTAGGTTTAAATATTCTAAAATTGCTTGGAGGAATCTATAATTTTAACTGACTTCTAACCTATGGTGATTGTAAATTGACATTTCGATGTGTTAAGCAAGAAGTCATCGACATTTTACAAAGTTGCAATATTCGTGATTCCAACGATAATTTAGAAAATATCAATATCTACAACGTTATTCACCAGCATAGCTATAATAATGGTTTTGGACGTTCAGTTTGGGTCTCGGACTTGGAATTTTTGGTTTCATTTATTGGTTTTCACCGCTTACTCCTAGAGTAATCCAAAGATTTAAAAAGATTATATACTAGCCATAGCGATTTCAAATCCGTAAATTTGGTCAAAGCGTCTTTAACTTCGATAAACGGTCACAAATTAAAAATAAAAATACTACCAGTAGGTTCTAAGAACTAACTTAAAAACAGAATAGAAAAAACCAAAAAGAAAACCCCACTCCCTTGTTTAATGTTCAAGATGTTTGCCGGTATCTGTACATAGCCGGGACCGAACCTATGACCTCAGCTCAAGCCTCACCAAGCTCTTTAACTCTCTCTAAAATCAAATTTTATAATATAAGTATACTTACTAACAAAGCGATATGCGGTAGGAATAATATGTCGTCTTCCTTATTCCCCTCAGACAGTTCCTCAACCCAGGTTAACGGGTGTTTCGGTATTGCGGATAACGTCCCATTATCGTTAAACTTAATTTCGCTGTGCTCGAGATGTTCCCTATAAAAACAAATACTTCAAGTTAGTGTACTGTTCTGTGTTACTCTTACTTAGGGAAAGATTCAGCCAAAAACATGTCAAATTCAAAATCATTTATTCATATAGGTAACAATGTACACTTATGAATGTCGAAAAAGAAATAAACATTAAATGCTTCTAATTTTACATTTACTGCCAGTTCTCAAATCAACCTGGCCTGCATCAGGAGGGCATCAGGAGTCATAGTTCGCGTTTATTGACTCTAAATGTGATACAGCTATCTTTTAGCACAAGTTTCCTGGTGCGAGTAAATAAATAAATAATTTGGGACAGCTTATCTGTGACCTGTTTGAATTTATTGTTGTATGTATGATGATTTATTATAAGAACGTGTTCTATATTTCGTAAGTGTATGTAATTGGTATGTTTATTTACATATATAAAAGTAATTTTAGTTTCCAAAATGATATTCAGTATACTTCTATTAAAGCAAGATATCGGTTTTGCTTTAATAGAAGTTCAAAATCTTCTTCAGGTGCCATTTTATTACTAAAGTTTGGTAACCACAAAACAATTCCACTTAGGGTCCTTCAAGAAAAGAGCGCACCAATTTTTGTATGGCCGGCAACGCACTTGCGAGCCTTCTGGCAGTGTGAGTGTCCATGGGCGGCGGTATCACTTAACATCAGGCCTCCTGCTCCTATTACATAAAAAAAAACATTTCAGGGATAATTTCCTCCCTAGACCGCTGAAGCCCCTTCCCATTTAATGCCAAATAAGGATATATTAACTGTTCTTATAATTTTTATGATATTATGATTATTAATATGACATTTACATTCCTATTTTTAAATGGCTGTTTAATCAATCTGAATGTACCACTTTCTTTGCAAATAAAAAAAAAACAATAGCGCTACACCCTCTTTAGGTCTTGGCCTCAGATTTCTGAATCTGTTTCATGATCATTTAAATCTAGGCAAGTAGGTGATCAGCCGGTTTCCTCACGATGTTTTCCTTCACCGTTCGAGCAAATGTTAAATGCGCACACAGAAAGAAAGTCCATTGGTGCACAGCCGGGGATCGAACCTACGACCTCATGTATGAGAGTCGTACACTGAAGCCACTTGGCCAACACTCTTTGCAAATAAACTATTTTTTATTATTATGGCTTCAGAAGCAAAATAGTTAAAATATCCATTAGTTCATACAGACTGTCAATGTAGTGGTTAAAGTAGTTTTGTAATAACATGTAATTCATTTAATAATCCTGTAATTAGAGTTCACAGGAAACCGATTTATAATTAATTTTAATATTGACTTCGCATGACCATATAGAATATTGACGTATAGTTATTTTAATAAAATATAACTTAAATATAAATATATTATGTAACCAAATCCACAACACACAATTAATAAAATATAAGAGTCTTTCCTCCAACTTCGATTTTGTTCCCTTTGGAGTAGAAACTCTTGGGCCGTGGGGTTCAAGTGCACAGGCGCTAATTAAAGATTAAAGTTGGCGCCTCGTAGATACGCAATACGGTGAGGTAATGCCAGCTTTGAAGGTACACAGCCACAGGGACCAAAATTTTTAAATTTGTTTTAATTTATCCATTTTAATTATTTTTATTATTACATAAGGTTAAGAAAATTTTAAATACTGTATATTTGGTTGTAACATCGTTATATGGAAATTTTTTTTAACCAATTACAATAATAACGTTATAGGGAGGGAAGAGTTAATGTATGGGTATTGGGTTAAATCAAATAAATTTAACTCGATTTCAATGACGTTATAAAGAATTTACACTGTATTTTTTTTAAATTGGTAAATTCCTTTACAGACCCTTGCGCCGGGGCAACTTATAATAGTGACGCGGGGAGTGTGGGGTCCTGTCGGGTGCAATGGACCGTCCACTAAGGGTGAGATCTATAGTGCGCACTTAGACTTTGCTCTGACTTAACTATCGAGCTAAGACACAGTCGGTATTTATAGAGCAAACTACGAATCTCTCCCTAGTGTTGGCTTAGCTTAATCTCAAGTCCACGAAATCGACGACTTACCAAAAACTTTGACTATAAGCCTAACAAAAATAATGGCCCAAAATTTGCTTTACCATCATATCTTTTACTGGACTTTTTATTTTTGTCGGTTTTTAATGAACGGTGTTGCCATTTTGTATCGGAGTTCCATAGACTTTGGGAAAAATAGAATTTGAATTCAAAGAAATTATAAATGATCTTGATAAATACCTATGAAATGCATGAAATAAAATAATTACACATTATTATGGTATTTATTGTTGTTTATTTATATTATTTATGTAATTGTTCAAACCCCATTTTTTGAGAAATCTTAAAAATAACTGGTGTGATTTTGTATGTCACCTGGCAGCCCTGGCAATTGGCATATTATAGTGACAACGAAATTCAAACTATAACCTAACCAAAACATTGCGATCCGTTCTACGTAATAAAATTATTGTCATCTTTAAATAATTAATACATTTTCTAAAGGTTACTCGTGAATTTCTAGTTATTGCAATAATAAAATAAATGAATACATAAATAACAATAAATTGAAGATATATGTGTACCGTTTTAGATTTTTAAATATTTGTTATTGTTAACTTTTTTAAAGGATAATAAACAAAGTATTGCATGAAATGAAACATCAATTTGTATTTTGACATTTTCTGTCTTAGCTTGGGCTTAGCTTAATCTCACCGTTAAAATGTCTATAAATACGAAATCATAGTTTAACCTTAGTGTACACTAAGCAAAGTTTTTCGTAAGGTAAGTCTGAGCAAAGTCCAAGTGCGCACTATAGATCTCACCCTAAGACCCAACAGCCCCGTCTATTCACTATGGACGAAGCTTTAATCCCCAACTGCGCCTATGGTCTATCACGACTTCCCTTTGCCTATTAAAATCTAAAAAAGAACAGCTTCTCCAACTGGCCAGTTTACGCATTCATGTAACCTCAACGATAACCATACTTCGTGATAATTCTCATTTCTCTCGTTCAAGTTATCCTTTAAGAACTTACTAGTTTTTCATGTGTTTTGTAATAACGAGGTCGGAGCTTTAAAGCTGCTATTATGCGAACCCGCGAGTCGAAGCAAATCGTGACAGTACACAAAACTAATATTTAAATCATAATAAAGTATTGCAATTAATACAAGGATTGCGGCGGGGTTATAAGTCAGGTATAGTTAGCAAAATAGGTTTCATTAATTTTAAATCACCAACATCTTTGAGTATTACTTCGATGAGACGGCACAATTTCAATTACGAATGTCTTCAAGAGGAATTGGGTTAAAATGACTTCGTAATATTAAAGTCCTCACAATTTTTTTGTAATTAATAAATATAATATTATACAGTGTAACAATATTCTTAACCGAAATAAAATAAAAAATCAGTGGCGCTACGACCTTTCTTTGAGGCGTTTTAGTATGGTTTAGGTCATATAATATACTTTTAGATGTATAATTTAATAAGTTTAATGAGGTGAAAACAAGTTCAACTATATAAAATTGATTATGAGTAATAAACATTTAAATATAAATCAATCAATGGGAAATTAATACTATTACTACTAAGTACTAATGTTCATTACTTTATCCCATTTTTTTATATAATAGGGGGGCGAACGAGCTCTATGGGCTGCAATGACTGCCCTTTTTGGGCGTCCCATTTTTACTGGGTGAGTTGCCGGCCTTTGAATTTTGAATAGTTGGAGGTCGTTTATCTCAGGAAAGATTTAAATGTATTAATTTGCGCACCGTACGCACGGAAGTATTAAATGTAATTGCGAGTTAAATTAGCATGTTTGTACAAATCAAGGTGATCATCGGTGACTCAAAAGGTTCCTGATCGCATTCCGAAATTCATTCATTGCGTATTCCGGATAAGATAACTATTACATTTTTAAAGGCATTGCCTTCGTGGGAGTATTTAGATAATAAGTTTTAACAACAATTATAAATAACTGTTATTATTTTGACATCATGATAATTATTATGCATGCCTATTTTTATATGGTAACTAGCTGACCTGGCAAATGTCGTTTTGCCATGTATATCATTAAAATAAAAAATAGGGGTTGATCGTAGAGGTGTGAAAATTAGGGGTTGTATGTATTTTTTAATGCTGTATCATAACAAAAAATACGTTGGTATCGAAAAATTTCAAAAAAAAATAGGGGTGGACTACCCTTAACATTTAGTGGGATGAAAAATAGATGTTGTCCGATTCTCAGACATACCCAATATGCACACAATTTCATGATAATCGGTCAAGCCGTTTCGGAGGAGTTTAACTACAAACACCGCGACACGAGAATTTTATATATTAGTTTGTGCGGTTTTAATTAATCAATCTGTACATATGTGCCACTTTCTTTGAAAATAAACGATTTATTATTATTAAAACCCAACTATTGACCGGTGTCTTTAAATGTTTGTCAGTTAATTAGAAATAAAAATAAATAAGTCATCTTAAAAGAAACAGAAAAAACTTTATTGCATGTAATAAAAAAGAATGTGTTTAGTTAAAGAAGAAAGTGCACTAGCTCCCACACTAGAATTCCCTTTCTGTCAAACTGTCAAAGTTTTCAAAGGCGCAACAAAAAATTAACAAAACCGTAGATGAAGTGTAGGAGGTGCCACCACGTTATACTAGTCTGTATAGATGGTTTGAATTGCTTTCTGCAGCTATTAAATATGTATGAGACCCGTCATATGGGCTAACTAAAAACTCTTACCGATATACAAATGGTCCAACTTCTTTGAGCCTAAGTTTATCGTCTGTACCAGCCATGTACTCTTCAGCATTGGTGACATTAAACAAGTAAACACGAGTGTATAGTTCGACCTCTGGCTTCCTCCACATATCGAAAATCTCGCCGCCTTCTTGGAATTTGATTTTCTGTAAAATTTAGGCTTGTTAAAATGTTATTTGCTAAAGCATTTAATTCTCACCTAAGCGTATGGTTAATGTAATGTATTTTTAGTTCTTAGCTAGCTTTAAATAAATAAATCAGTGTTTCTACCACCTTTTTAAGTCTGGTCAATCAAGGCAAGTAGGTGATCAGCCTCCTATGCCTGACAGTCGACTTTTTGGGTCTAAGGCAAGCCGGTTTCCTCACTTATTTCCTTCACCGTTCGAGCGAATGTTAAATGCGCATATAGTCCATTGGTGCAGCCGGGATCGAACTTACGACCTCAGGGATGAGAGTCAGATGCTGAAGGCCAGCTCTACTCTCTGCTAAGCGTTAGCTTACCATACAATTAATATATAAATTACTATTTTAATAATTTATAATTGTCATTAAATATTTCCGACTGAAACAGTTTTCAGTTGTAAAGAAACTTTGCATTGTAATACGATTGATTCTCTAGTTCACAAAAACTATCAAAAACATGTATAATTAATTATAATTTTTTATAATATATACGTAATAGTTCGATCTTTGAACTTGTTTATAAAACCAGATCCGTTTTCAACAGTTCAAGGTCTTTAGTTTTAACCGATCAGTACTTAGAATCCCAAAGTCGGAGGTTAGATTGTCTATATAGTAATTAATTTCGTAATTATTAAACAATTTATTTACTTGGATCTTGAATGCCAGAGCATCATAAACACTTACCCATCTGAATAGTATGTCGTAGGGCTGTACCAGAGCAATAAATAATCCAGTTCCGAGACAGAAGAAACCTAACAGCAACAACACGAACAGACCTGAAACAATAAATTCAAATTTAAGTTTTTTATGTAAAATTCTCAGTTCGACTTTTCGTCTATTCATAAGTCACGCGTGTAAGGCTATCTAAAATTAGCATTAAATATTGCGGGCTGATTTGTTCACGGACTTTAATCAATGTTTTTGGCATAAAGGAAAACCCACCATAGTGGTGTAACCTTGGTTACAAGAAGAAATAAACTTTTTCTTTGTCTAATTCTGATTTTTCTTCTCTCCATTTAACGACAACTCTCTATAACGCCATAAATTGCACAGTCGCTTCAGTGTCGTTATATAGAGTTTACACTGAATATAAATTATTGTAATTGGTTAAATTTTGGATTTTTTGAAGTTATACTTCTTTAGGCGCGTTATGAAAAATTTATGAGAGTGAAATTTTACGATGCGCGCGCACCTGTGACACAAAAATAGGAGTGTGATTATAGCGTGCGCGAGCGAGATAGGAATAAGACAATCTACAAGTAAAAAGAAATAGAATATGCTTGAAGTTCGTATGCCAAGAATTTTGAATGACCATAATGACATTTGTCATTTACCTTTTAAACAAATAAAGGAGTTTTAATTATTTTTTCAAAGAAATTTAGCGATGCTTTTTGAATTATATATAATCAGAAGTGATTTAAATTGAATATTTAAACCAATACTAATTAATATTTGTGAAAAAACTGTGCTCATCAACCTTCCTAAGTGCTTCATTACAATTGAGGTTAACTATCAGTTTGTATTATTATTATCGAGTAATGTTTTGATTAAAAAAATTAACCACATTGTTTAATCAAAACATGTAATTTTTCTCTAGCAAATATAAGGACAAGAGACAAAAAACAATTGATGAATCAGTGTAAGTGCACTAAATTGAATACAAAAAAAGAGTTGTCATATTATCGCTGTGAAAGATCAAAAACTGGAGGTGGAACAAAGCCAAACTATTTTTAATAATGCCAAAGAAGTATAACTTCTTACGCGCGTACATAAGTACACGCACCCTTTTTTTTTCTTCCTTCCGTATAACGTAATAATATAATTCTTTATAAAAAAAATGCTGGGTCCCATGAAATTCGTTGTGTTTGCTTCGCAGTTAACTGATAACAATGTTAATAAACTTTTAAAAGGAAAAAAATAAAGAGTTATACTGTCTTGTGCTCAGAATTGGCGCGATGTCCAAAAGCATTAGCAAACCTTCACAATAGGAGTAGGAGTCTGAAGGTCTCAACAGCAAAGCCATTTATAATTTAACAACCAGAAACCGTATTTGCTACGGTGACTTTGAAATTGCTACCAAGGTTTTGTCCTTTCCAAGTAAAACCGCGGGCGGCAGCTAATAATTATAATATATACTTAAATCCGCGGTCATATCTATAAATGGATTCCGGAATTAAAATGGAGCAAAGTTTTATTTTTCAGAATTCACGGTCGCACTGACCTAGACATACCTAAATCCTTACAACGCGAAAAAGACGATCATTGTTTTTTTTATTGATAAAAGCTTGCCAACGCTCAGCACACTGATGTATTGTTAATAGAACCACAATATACAATTTTTAATATGACAAGAACTTCAAAGGCAAAGATGTCATACACGAAGAGATAATACAAATATTAAACAAAACAATCTCTATCGACATTAAACGACGCTCTGAGTAAATGCGAAGCAGATCCATTTTATGACAGTCTCCATGTCTTCAGGCGTAAGATGCTGCAGCCACTGTTGATCCGTGACCAAAAGTGATAATTGCAATATAGAAAATTATTGTTTTATTTTTATTTTTATATATTTGTCAATTGCACGTTTGTATTATTTTAATCTAGTTTGTTTTTTACTTTTAATGTTTAAGTTATTTTCTCTTCATCATTGTAATGTTTCCCTTTAAATGTTGTGCACACTTGTTATTGATGCACATGCATGTATCTTGTCTCCGTAAGTGTTTGTATGTGTTTCGTTAGTGTGTCGTTTAAAATAAATAAATAAAAACAAATATAAAACAATAATTAAGGTATCTTACTAACATGACTTTAATTCCGTTTATTGCTTAAATTGTACTTAAAGAAAAGAATACCAAATACATTGAAGATATTAAAAACATCGAGCAGAGCTATTACGATCCCAAATCGAATCGTGGAACGAAATATTAATGTTTCAGAATTCAAACCATTTTTCTCGTAACTCCGCCTAATGTCCGTGAACCGACCGAAATAAACCCACATCAAAAAGCACTAAAAAGTAAACAAGAACATTTCTACTTTTAATCCAAGGGAATTTAATGTATTAAACAATAATTTATTTATATACGGGATATGAATACCACATTATTTGACACCTTGATCATCAGATCGGTCTGCGAAGCTTCTTAAGTTTTGAAATCGGTTAAAATGGCATGTTTTTGGCTTCAGAGCTCCACAATTAAATTTATTATTATTGACTATCCACGTTGATTGACGTTTATAGTTAATTAGAGTTTAACAATTAATAATTAAGTATAGTTTAACAATTAATAATTAATTAATTCTAGTCAATATGTTATTGGTCTCGCGGCCTCTACTTAAAAGTCGCAAAAAGTAATTAAGATATCATGACCCATGTCCGTGAAAATTGCATAACTGATGACTGTTAATAAAACTCATTAAAAGCTTTACGCGAAAGGTTCTTATCAGTTACCTTGTAAAGGTCAATTCACTAAATCTGATTTACCTTGAAAAAACTCACATGACAGCTGTATGATTTAATAATTTATGTTATACAATATAATTATGTATAGCAAAACATTTCGAATATTTAAAGGTTCAGTAATTGCATCGTAATAGCAATTACTTAAAAGAAACTGAGCAGGTATTTTTTTATAGAACAGGGGACAAACGGGTAGGAGGCTCATCTGATGTTAAGTGACACCGCCACCCATGGACACTTCCAATGCCAGAGGGCAAGCGAGTGCGTTGCCGACCACTTAAGAATTGATACGCTCTTTTCTTGAGGGACCCTAAGTCGAATTGGTCGGAAATAGTTCAGTGGGCAGCTGGTTCCACAAAGTGGTGGTGCGCGGCAAAAACTGTCTTAAAAAACGCTAAGTTGTGGAACGACGAACGTCGAGGTGATACAGGTGGAATTTCGTATTCTGCCCCGATGTCCGATGATGAAACTCAGCTGCAGGTATGATTCCGAACAACCCCTTTGAACACTCTCCATGGTGAATGCGGTAAAAAAACAGCAAAGGAGTGCGATTAAATAGGCATGACCTGGACAGGCGTTCCCACCAACTGGCCACATCTCATATAAAAATATTAGAATTATAAGTTTCATGTACTTGTAACTAATGCTAAGCGAGAGAATTAATTATTAAAAACCTTTGCAAAGACATAAGTATGTATTTACGGGGTAAATGAATATTTGAATTATGTATAGGTATTTTTCAGTTTTTAATCTTCTTGCTACAAATCATTGCCGTATGTACGTGAAACGGTATAAATTTTGATTTGATTTTTAAAAAATTTGACGGCCCTAAAATATTTCTAATCTAAATTGCTATGTATAGATTAGTAAAAAGATTTTATAATAGTTGCATATACTGCATTAATATTTAAAACAACGGAAGTGTTCACTAAATTCGCAAACAAGGTTAGTATATATGAATAAATTAAAAGTTAGGCCGTCGCTGTAAATATCATTGAGACTCCTACAGTATTACGAATGTTTTCTAATGCTTTTGGACATCACGAGTTATTTACATTGTTATCAGTTAACTACAAAGCAAATATGATAACCTTTATCTGTTGCCTTCGTAACAAAATCTCAGTTAACAGCTCTTAAATTACGCTCATAAAACCGACTGGCCCAGAAAAGGGGCTTTTATTTACGCCACAATAATATATGGTATTTTAGATAAGATACATATAATTGTATATGTCATATTAATTTGTGGAATGTAAGTGAGCAGTGTTGGCCTAGTGGCTTCAGCGTGCGACTCTCATACCTGAGGTCGTAGGTACGATCCCCGGCTGTGCATCAATGGACTTTCTTTCTATGTGCGCATTTAACATTTGCTCGAACGGTGAAGAAAAACATCGTAAGGAAACCGACATGTCTTAGACCCAAAAAAAAGTCGACGGCGTGTGTCAGGCACTGGAGGCTAATCATCTACTTGCCTATTAGATTTAAAAATGATCATGCAACAGATTTAGAAATCTGAGGCCAAGACTTAAAGAGGTTGTAGCCCCACTTATTTATTTTTTATTTATTTAATTTGTGGAATACCCAACGAAGTGTCACACAGACAGTATAGGTGCAACAGGAATAGTAGCTAAAACTATTAATACTTTCAACAATTAAATTCCTCTATGGATATCAGCATTCTCCAAAAACACATTTCACTCAATCATCACTAATAATAAGCTTGAAGATACAGTATTCCTTCATCAAAGCACTTCACCTCAGGACATTACTAATACATAGACTACAAGAAATTTGAATATATAAAATGAATGGGGACTTAAGTGCCTCTGCAAAAAAGCCGGGGCACTGAAGATTCACCGGCTGAACGCCGTGCCTGTTTTAATATACCGTTCTAAATAATCAAAATTTGCTAGAAGATGACCCGCTTACAGCTGGGAGTTTCTTCCATACAGAACTTTGTTACAAGCAAACATGGGTTCGTCCAGTTGCTGATGAGGCAAAGAGAGCTAGAAAGACTTGGAGCGAGGTAAAATACGAGGCTCAAGACCGAACGTAATGGACACTCAATGTGGATTGTGGAACTGCCTCACCTAGGGGTTATTAATTCAAGTCAAGTAAGTGTAATGGGAACATTAAAAACAAAATTAACAATAAACGTAAAGTACAAGAAAATGTAAATGATACTGCTCAGTTTACAAGCGTATGCAATATAGGCTGTAGAGGTTATCCGGAAGCTAAAATTTCCTCATGAATCTTTAAAGAGTCGAGCATTACGCTGAGACTTTTTTATGGTGTAATTCTTGAGTAATTAATATTGTACATAGTAACTGAGTCATCATAATATCTTTATAATCCTTATTTACATACATAATATTACCCAAATCTTTTAATTGTTTTAGTATGACGTAGTATCTGACGACATGATTTCAAAAGAAGACTACAATCAGGTGGAAATAACTAGACTTAACTAAGTATGTTAAATCACTTTTAATATGTTTTTGACATACGAGAGTCTCATTTTTTTATTATTTATTTATATAATAAAATCTCTATATCTAATATATAAAATTCTCGTGTCACAATGTTAGTTTCCATACTCCTCCGAAACGGCTCGACCGATTCTTATGAAACTTTTTATGCATATTCAGTAAGTCTAAGAATCGGCTACTATCTATCTTTCAAACCCCTAAGCGATAAGGGTTCCACCCCAAATTTATATTTTTCAGATTTTTGTTTTGTTTTTATTTTTTTATGATACAACATACAAACCCCTAATTTTCACCCCTCTACAATCCACCCCTATTTTTTATTATTGTAAATAGTTATTTTTATTGAACTAAAAAAATGTTTCCTAGCAATATTATACATGGCAAAACAACGTTTGCCGGGTCAGCTAGTTATAATATAAATACAAAGGAAAACGGCTGTGTCTTGTATAAATGTAACCATAGCAGCCTTGCGATTCTGTAACTCACTTTTCGAACTCTCACAACAGTTTTCGCCGCGGCGGTCGCGCTCTATGTAGTCATGAAGCAGTCATTTTACGATTTGGCATTCTGATAAATAATAATGTGACGTAATGTGAAATTGCTTAACAGAATACCATGAGATTCCAAAAATGACGTGAGTGACGAAGGGAGCGTTGTTAGTGCGAGGTGAACTCACGGATTAACAGAATCGCACGGCAGTCTTGTTTAGGATCGCTACCTCAACGTTCTCTCGCCATATACTTTGTTTGCTCTTGATGTATAGAGCCAAGCGCTCGGGTCTATACGTCATGCTCAACTCTTTTTTTTATGACATCGAAAAAGTAACACTTGAAGTGGGTGATATTCAGAAACGAGACTATGACGTACTGGAAGTCTGACTTCTGAATTTCTGAATCTAACCTAAGATTTTTTGCCGCATACCACTATCTGAAACCATCGTGGGCAGCATCAAGTATTTCCGAACTAATTCGACTTAGGTTCCTTCAAGAAAAGAGCGTACCAATTCTTAAAAGGCCGGCAATGCACTCGGGAGCCTTCTGGCATTGTGAGTGTCCATGGGCGTCCATCATTTAACATCAGATGACCCTCCAGCCCGTTTGATATAAAAAAATCTTAGTTTTATATGTTAAATTATCGTTATGTACTTGCGATGTAAATTCAAATAAAGTGAAAATTTTATTTATTTATTTATTTTTCTCACAAAAACTTAAACTTAGAACATAGGCAAGTGACAGTTATATTCTTACTTCTGTCAATGGAAAAATTAACTAACTAGAAACCTATTTTCTTGCAACTGTCAAATTCGCTTCGGAGCCAAAAAAAAAATGTTTTTTCATACTTACTTTAAACACGTAATTCTTCTCTCAGACAGTCTCATTGTATATGTAAATTAAATGTATTACAAAATAAAATCTTAATATTTTTTGTACGTAAAAATATTTCAGACTGATTGGCACTTCTCAAACCGGATATAACCTTACATTTAAGGCTGTCAGGTCGGCCTTTGCGAAAATACAAGATTCAATGACCCTTCATTTAATACATAATAAACTCGGGTTTAAATTTAAAAGTAACTGTTACGAGTGTTTGTATCTATACTCTAGTGTTTGTATCTATAGTATTTATTTATTTCGTAATCCTACAGCTAACAAAAATGATATATAACAAAAAACAATTATACTAAACATATAGCCAAAGATGGAATACAATATAATATTTACAAAAAGGTTCAAACACGTAAGGAAAAATTCAATAAAAATAATTGTGTATGGTGTGAAAGTGAAGGTATGTACGTGTGTATGTGGGGTGTGTTTCTGATGCAGGTGATAGCACTATGGATATTCTTAATACTCCTTCAAAGCATATTAGCATACATTGGTCGTTACATGTCCAGGCGCGATACAAAACTGGGTTTTAGTATAATAATTATCTCCATGGCTCATAGTGTATCTCCTTCCTTGCGAATTTTCCCGAAGACCAGGGATTGATATCGGTTGCTATTAGGGTTGGAATCCAGACAACAATTATTATAAAATATTTTGCGTATAAAGTATTTACCATCAAGATTTTAATTGTTTTAATAAAACTACGGTTTAAATATATACGAATAAAACAGTCTCCAAACTCTATGTATTATAACTTATTATGCAATAAGTATTTATTATGATTTATCCTTTGTCTAATAAGTGCTGACGTCACTATGAATAAAATGTTAAACGCAACTTACAAGGCTTAGTTGAGAATGTTTTAATAACTTAAAAATTGTAATTCTATAATTATAATTAATGGGCTATTACTACGCGGACATTATTTGCCCTAACATAAGGAAAAGTATAGAAAATAACTTAGTTATGTCCATAGAATCCGAACTTAAAGAAAAAAATCTGCCTGTTTCTTCACGTGACACAATTTTTAGACAGAGAAGCGTAGATCATCATAAATTATGATGATCGACGCTTCGGTGGACGGAGAAATTGTGACCAATTTGTGTTTCATCTTCACAGAAATTTTAAAAAATAAATTAACAATTAAATTTTGCCAGTAGCCTCTTTAGTCTAGCTAATTATGTTTGTTTTTTAATAGTTCCCACGATCGGGCCATAATTCCGCTACCGCAAACGAAAAAAATATTAAGGCTTTGTGCTAAATAAATTGTTCTTAGTTGCGACTAATAAAAATATCGGTAAATTTGTCGAATTACGGCTCCACATTAAAACAGCTCCAAATTTGTTTCTATCGTTCTTTACGACTTGTAATTGGCGATTAAAAAGAGTGGTGGAGTTTATTGCCAGTTATTCTCTTCCGTTCTACGCCCTAGATTTGAGAACTGGCAGTAAATGTAAAATTAGAAGCATTTAATGTATTTTTCTTGACGTTCATAAGTGTACAATGTGTTATCTATATTAATAAATGATTTTTGACTTTTGTATGTAGTAAATTAAGTAATAATAAGAAGGCGCATGGCTTTGGACCCCTTAAAAAATTTAAAAACTGATAACATTACATGCATGATCTAAATGTCTCAGTTCCCAGTGGGTCTCAGTGTAGACATTAGGTTAGGTTAGGGTTTTCTTTCTTTTGATTCTAAGTGGCGTTTGTGGTTAGATTAGGTTAGGTTCGGTTAAAGCAAAAACCTGTACCTTTAATTCATTATACAAATCATGATGTTTTATTTAATTTCTATGGGGTTCAAGAGCATGCGCCTCCACATTATTGCATGGTACACCATTGCCGAGTGATGAAACTATGTAAAAAGAAATTTGGAGCTGTTTTAAGGGAGCCTTGATTCAACAAATTTACAAAATATTTATACAAATCTAAAAATGTAGATTTCCGAGACTTAGAGGGAGGGAAAATGGTAGATATGTTAGGAATTTAATTTCGACAAAAAATTACCCTCATGCGCCTATTGAAGTTTCACTTCAAAAATCTATGTCATTTATGGCCTTCCTATAACTGGTTTATAGGAAGCGATTTATTTTTCCTGTCCATACAACAATATGACCAAACATTCTAATTATAAAACGAAATTATAAAATTAATAGCCGCAATTACATTATTATCGTAATAATTAACTGGCTTTAACGATAGTGAAGATAATGGCTATAAAAAGAAATCTCGCAACAAGGTAACGCGATTCTTAAAACAATTCCTTATGGATCTATGTCGGTATACATTTAGCTACCGAACGCTTAAGAGAAAAATAAAAAAATAAAAATGGAAGGAAAACCAGAAAGGGTCGTAGACTATGATGAGTTACTCTCATCAGCTGGAAAATTCGGGAAATACCAGCTATATTTGTTTTTTATTACGGGACCGTTTTATATATTCGATGTGTTTGCATACTTCTCACAGTTATTCATGACCGAAGTGTCACCTAACCACTGGTGTTGGATACCAGAGCTTGAGAACTTGACAGCGGTAGAAAGAAGAACTCTTGCTATACCCTCGGATCCTAATAGCCGCTTCGGCTACTCACAATGTTCCACATACAACGCCAATTGGACAGAGGTCCTTAGTACTGGACAGTACCCGAATACATCGTGGGCGGTACAAGAATGTCAATATGGATGGGAGTTTAATAAAACGGAAATTCCATATCCAACAATTTCCAGTGAATTAGGCTGGGTATGTGATAAAAATAGCTACCAGGCAACGGCCCAGTCCATCTTCTTTTTGGGATCAATTGTTGGAGGATTCATTATTGGATGGATTGCTGATAAATACGGAAGGTTACCAGCTGCTACCATAAGTAATATGATCGGCTGTGTTGCTGGGGTGATCAGTATCTTCGCTAACGACATAATACAGTTTTCTATCTGTAGATTCATAATGGGTATGTGCTACGACAATTGCATGATGATGACATATCTCTTAGTATTAGAATACGTGGCGCCTAAATACAGAACGGTCATAACTAATTTACCATTTGCGATATTCTTTACATTCGGAGCAATGATCCTACCCTGGATAGCATTAGCGTGTAATGACTGGAAGATCTTAAGTTTAGCAACAAGTGTGCCTATGGCATTGGCTTTGTTAGCGCCTTTCATCATCCCAGAGAGTCCTAGGTGGTTGCTGTCAAAGAATAGAGTAGATGAAGCCGTCCAGAAAGTTGTTAATATAGGCAAAGTAAACGGTGTACCAGTTCCAGTGAAATTGGTAGAAGAATTTAAAGAATCATTCAAAAATCAAAGGAACGAAGAAAGCACGAGTTCATTAGAGATTTTCCGACGTCCATTGACAAGAAAAGTGTTCATTTGTGTGTGTTTAGAATATATGTGTTGTGTTATTGTCTTTGATGCATTATTACGGAGTATCGGCGCCTTAGGTTTTGACTTTTTCCTGTCATTTACTTTAATATCATTTACCGAATTCCCTTCGCTGATTTTAATTACATTAACTTTAGACATAATAGGTCGTAAATGGATGTCTATTACATCTTTAGCTATATGCGCTGTTTTTTGTATATTAACTGCGTTTGTTGGGGAGGGTCTACCTTCCGTTATATGTGCGATTATAGCACGATTTGCTGTTAATATTTCAGTAAGTGTAGGAATGCAGTGGTGTGCAGAGGTAGTACCAACTTCTGTGAGAGGCTCCGCTGCATCAATAGTTCATATATGTGGTTATTTAGCAACTGGTATATCCCCCTACATAGTATATTTAGGTAATTTTTTTATATGGTTACCGCTGCTAATCGTTGGTCTGTTAAGCATTATTGGGGCCTTATGCGCATGCGTCATACCTGAAACTGGAGGCAAGGAAATGCCACAAACCTTTGCGGATGCAGAGAACATGATTTTAAACCAGAAGTTCTTTGATATACCATGCTTAGAAAAGAAGAAGGAGAAACACGTGGCAGGTGAACATAATAATTCATTTGAATTAAATTAAATATATAATTTATGCCATTTTAAATTATGTGTGTTTATGAGTAGTTCAAAGTGTGTTTACAAATTAATTATAGTCATTTAAGATTATATTTTATAATGAAGAACAATTTATGAATAAGTATTGCTTATTTATGTACAACTGGTGATTTGAAAATATAAATGAGTCAGTAATTAGTTTGACCAGAGATTTGTTTTAAAAGTATTTGTTTAACAAATAATAACATAATTAAAAAAATATTCTCTTTTATGTTATTTAAATTGCAATTATTAGTATTCTTTTAACGGAAAAATTTAAGGTTATAATGGAGTAGCCGTGATATTGAGGAAATTGTGAGAAAGAAAATTAAATAAATGTTTTCCTTGACTGTTTTCTTTTTATCCTTCTTTTAAATAATAACCTAAATAATCTGAGCTGTTCAATAAAATTACTATTGTTTTGGATTTAAAACTTGATCAGTCGACCACTAACCAGTGGATAGATTTGATCGGAGTTGAATATTATCAATTTTTATTTTTTTTTTTTGGAAAATGGAAAAACTGATCCCCTTATTTATAAAAACTAAATTAGTCTAAATATAATTGCACTGATCTCTTTTCATCACAGTGTAAACACAATCCGATAGAAAGACATAATTATTAACAATACTCTAGGATATTATCGGTTAACTAGATGATTTTATCACAAAAATTATACAAAAGATTTGATTTACTATGAGTGTTGGTATAAATGTATTGTTTTAAGTTATGTGTATATATATAAATAAAGAAATATACTTCTACATAATTTATCAATATGTTAAGAAAACCAAAAAAAAATACTACCTTTTTGTATATATATAAATATGTAGATGTACATACCAACGTTTTAATACAATAAATAAAATATTTGATTGATAATCAAACAAGTGTAGGTTTTATGAATAATGATGTAATTCAAATTCCTCTTAAAGAGGTGAATGACCTCAAATTGGAGCCCTGAAAACGTGTACATTCTGTAAGTTTATTCTGAGAGTCGGCTGGATGTTTCTCAAACCTGTTTTGCAGATACTATTTTTGGCATTATCTGGGTTATATTAAATTAACAGCCTTAAAAAATTCCAGTTGGAATAGTTCACACGCACTTTTATCTTCCAAGTCTCGAGGTATGATTGAGAGTCTATTTCATCCCTGATCTTACCCTAGGACCTCAGTATTTGTTTTAATAGGTCAAAAGGGCAGGAGGCCCACCTGATGTTAAGTGATACCGCCCATCAACACTCCCACTGTCTTACAAGTGCGTTACTGGCCTTTTAAGAATTGGTGCGCTCTTTTCCTAAAGGACCATAAGTCGAATTAGAAATACTTCAGTGGGCAGCTAGTTCTGGTGAGTCAAGTTGATATAGATTGTTCATAAGGATTCTTTCAATAACGATTTAAATTATTTTACCATAGATCCAAATGGTAGCTAATAGGTTTTAATGCCCTCTAATGAAGCATAGGCTTCCTTATAAAACTTACGTTACTTAAACTAGTGTTTCTTTTTGCATTTCGTCCACTAATGCCAGGCCCATCCACATAATTTAATATATAATATTAATTTGATAACGTAAAAATATATTTTAATAATGTGATATTGTATCACTACAAATATTATAAGAATTTACTATCATGATATGACTCAATGTATGTAACTTGTGAAATTCCTTTTAAGACAAATTAGCACGCCGTTATCTGTGACAGAATATGTGAACTTTTTGTACCTATATTCATGCAAATTAATTAGACATAATATGGTATCTTGCATATTTGTAAATATTTATGTCTTGTATGAATTGTAGTACGTAACTTTGCTGTCAAGTTTCCGCAGAGTACGCAATATAGTGATTTTAACTGGTATTTCTTCACAATTTTGGTTACCGAATTTGGGTGTTTTTTTTATTAAATAACTGAATCTTTTCTTTTACAGGAGGCAGACGGGCAGGAGGCTCACCTGATGTTAAGTGATACCGCCGCCCATGGACACTCGGACTTCCAGAAGGCTCGCAAGCGCGCTGCCGGCCTTTTAAAAATTGGTTCGCTCTATTCTTGAAGGACCCTAAGCCGAATTGGTTCGAAAATACTTTAGTCGGCAGCTGGTTCCACATAGTGGTGGTGCGCGGCAGAAATTGCCTTAAGAAACGCTCAGTTGTGGAACGACGGACGTCAAGGTGATACGGATTGTAAAATACTAGTATTAGCTATAAGTACCTTTTCATAAATACATATTACGCTATCATTATAGATAATAAACGATCGTGTATTCTATAAAAAACAATGTTTGTGTTCTTGTTCTTCTATCAAATCTGTGTCAGCCTATTGTTGACATATGTGCAAGGTTGTGCAATGTTTCATGCTTCTAGTTATGAATTTTAGTGTATATGAACCTTTGAGAGATTTCGTATTCTTCGAATAGCAACTTAAAATTTTCACTAGTTTGACCGTTGATAGAATTTCGTAATCTTCGAATAGCAGCTTAAAATTTGCACTTGTTTGAATATATATATTTTGAAGATATCTATTAAATGTGTAGGTGGCCAAAATGCTATGCCGTTGAGACTAAGGGAATGCGCGACACTTGAATGTTCCAAAGGAGGTTTTATGTACTGATTACTGGACTCACTGAGAGACATAATCCGGTGACTATAGAATTTAGAAGATCAAAAACGTTCTGCCCCTTCGAATATAAAAAAAGAAGACAGCTGAACCTCCTTACTATAAAGAGATCCATTAAATAGACAAAACAGAATATTCAAAACAATATTGTTTGTAAAAAATAACACCAAATTTCCTTTGACGCTGATTAAAAATGTTTTATTTTTACGTTTGTTTTGATCGTAGTTAAATCAAGTAAGCTGTTTATTAAACCCATAATTAACATGTATTAAACTAATGTCATTTGGCTTATTAATGCTTATCTAATCTATCTGAGTAATCTGAGTATAAACTTGTTGATTCCTATATTACTGTTGTTTTGTATTGTCGAATAACAAAAAACTACCAAATACTCTAACCGTACATTTTATTAGTGGCACTTTAAAATACAAAATTATTATGATTATAAATATATCTTAGATTGAAGTTGCTTTAATAATCACTAGTGTAGTATTAGCCTAGTGGCTTCATTGTGCAACTCTCATCCCTGAGGTCATAGGTTCGGTACCCAGCTGTGCATCACTGGAATTCCTTTCTATGTGTGCATTTACCATTCGCTCTATCGGTGAAGGAAAGCATCGTAAGAAAACCAGCTTTCCTTAGAAATCGACGGCGTGCGTTTGAGCGAGACACAGGAAGCTGATTATTATTATTTTATTATTTGCCAATTATATTGACAAATGATCATGAAGCATATACATAAATCTGAGGGCCAGACCTAAAAAGGTTGTAGCCTCACTGATTTTGTTAAAATGCAAAATATAAACTTAATAATAGGAGAAGAATTTAAAAAATACTGCTTTCAATCTCTGATACCATGATACCATACCATTACCAGTCCCGTACCACTTACCATACCAGGGTTACCATGACAGCCACTGAGTGATTGCTTCATAATTCAATTTATGCATTTTAAAAGCAATAAATACAAATCAAATTATAAAAAACAAAACAACAATCATGCTTAAACGCCAAAAAAAGTTTGGATTTTAATCCAAGATTCGGGTCAATAATTTTGATTAAAATTTGATATTTATTATGCCAAAGTGAGACACAAGATAATAAAATGACGCATAAAATGTCTGCAATCCACTGTTGTATTGACTAATATATTGCTTTTGTTTGGCGTTTAAAAGGAAGGTCACAGTATACAGTAACAGCATTAACAGTTACAAATTCTGAATCAATTTAATTAGGAATACAATTCAATATGAATTAATTGTACTCGATTCGAAGAAGACTACTTAATTCGGTTAATTTAGTCGCTACAGCTATTATATATCTATATAACATAAATGATCATATTATATGTAAATAGAGAACTTTAACGTTTTAATTATTAGCTACAACCAAAAATATTTGTTACTATAGATACATAGTATATTCTTATTTTATTTTGTTCCAAAAACAGAAAACTTTTAGTATGCTTGAACAAACATATTGCATTGAATGAAACGCGGTCGAGAGGGAAGGGTCACGCAAAAGATTGCTTGCAATCTTTCGTCGAATAAACAATCGGATAGCAGATTTGTTTCGACGCAGATTGGAGATCGATCTTTAGATGTGAATCAATCCAAGATTGTTTATAATCTTAGATTGAGGGTACATTATTAAATTTGGGCGTATATAAATAGTTAAGTCGAACAGTAATAGTTGCATAATAATATGCATGCGATACTTGACCCCAAGATTGATTCTATTCAAACACTTGCCCGTATAGGAAAATATGGGAAAGAGACAAATCTTATGCCAAAAATCTACGGGTAAGCGAAGATACCACTGACGTTATAATTGTAAGCAATTTGTGTTATTATAGTTAATTTATACCTGCGGTATTGTTATTATTTGTATTATATTACCCAGAACTAGAGCTTTAATTATAAATAACAACATATTGTATTCAACAAAATCTATAATTAGGTTGCAAAAAAATATTACAAGAAATTCATTCGCAATTCAGTAAAGTTGTGGATGCAATAAGATCAAAATAAATCTTGTTTTAAATGTATAAATAAAAGTTTTTGTTGTTGTAAGTATACACAGACATTTTATTTAAGTTTCTCAAATTCAAATTCAAAATCATTTATTCATTTAGGTAACACAATGTACACTTATTAATGTCAATAAATAAATACATATTAAATGCTTCTAATTTTATATTTACTGCCACTTCTCAAATCAAAGGCGTAGAACGGATATTTTGCATATTGTTTATATGATAATATATATGTATTAATATATTTGAATGATGTTATAGCGTAGACAAAATAATATAATTGACTATGATGATATCATTGATAATAATGTAACATAAAATGCTACCTTTTAATT